GAAGCAGAACCTCCTCCTCCTCCTCCTCCTCCTCCTCCTCCTCCTTCAGTTTTTCATTTCTAGCTGGGAAACAAAACGCATACATTTTCTACAGCCAGATGATCAGCACCAAGCCCATGTGGGTGAATGGGACACCCATGTGATTGTCCATACGCCATACCAATAGCTCTCTTTTTTCTTTTTCTTTTTTCTTTTTCTTTTTTCTTCGTGAGCTCTCAGTTACTCGAGGACGGACAGTTCGATGATTGTACTACCTCGAGGCCGAGCAAGTTGCCTCCTTCACTTGGTTAGGCATGCAAGTGGCATTGGGCAGGTCACGGGTTCAATCCCCACATGGTATTGAGGCAATATTGGTGCCAAACAACTGGGATTGTTGGTTTGGCCCCCCGCTCCTCCCCCCCCCCTCCCCCCCCCCCCCCCCCCCAAAGCCGTCGGTATTGGCAGGCTCTCTCTGGTCATCTTGGGTGGGAGTGTGTCTCTATGTATGTGGGCGGGGGACGGGGGGTGTGGGTGTTGTGTATGGTGCATGAGAGGTTGTTGGCCTGCAGTCTTCCCCCGAATACAACGTACGGTCATTATAGCTGAATTTAGACTGAAAGATACACCAAATTCAGCTATAATGACCGTACGTTGTATTCGGGGGAAGACTGTAGACACTGCTGTTACTCGATGGGGGTCGGCGAAGAAGATGGGGGCTCAGCTAGTGGCAAAATGCCCAGTCTTTGCTCGCCCCTCCCAGCAGCAGCCCCAACCTGTTCCCTAATCACTGCTGGTTAGGGCAGAGCGCAACATACATCCTCTTGATTGGGAGAGGTAGCTTTGTTTGTAGAGGTCCCCTGTATAGCCCTAGGAGTAGTGGTAGCCTGGCAGGGAGGAAGTTGAAAGGTGAACTTGAGAGAAGAATATAGTTTAGTTTGAGACAAAAACAAATAAAACCTCCGAGTCAAGGCTATTGTACTTCCCCCGCACAAAGAAAAAAGGGCGGAAATTCTTTAAAGAACCCTAAAAGTTGGGGTATTTTCTTGGACACCCCTAAAACACAGGGGTACGATGAAATGAAATGCCCCAAACTTCTGCTTTTGCCCGTCCTGGCCATGGGCAACTTTGCCACATGCCCTTGGCCGTGAGCTGCAGTGCCAGAAGCGCTACTTTTGCCCTTCGCCTCTCTACCATGCAGTAATCTTTTCTGCCTACTGGGTAGGGGGCATGTGTGTGTGTGTGTGTGTGTGTGTGTGTGTGTGTGTGTGTATGTGTGTGTGTGTACGTGTGTGTGTGTGTGTGTGTGTGAGAGAGAGAGAGAGAGAGAGAGAGAGAGAGAGAGAGAGAGAGATGGGGAAGTCGATGAGGTTTAGGAGGAAGTTGGTGGGGGGGGGGGGCATAGCTGGCACAGTTTTCGAATCTCCCTTTTTTTTTTCTTGTGTGTGGGGTGTGTGTGTGTAACAAGAATGCTCTGTCTATTGGTGGGGAGCTCCACCTGTTGGAAACCGGGTCCAGCGTTCATTGATTGTACAAACAAATACAAAGAATACATAGATAACCAGAATCCTGAGTTTGGGAAAGCCGACCGTTTTGACTGCCTCCATCGGGATCACTCTCTTGCTCTCCTCTGAAACTGGGGAAAAGCACTACCGTTTCATCCTTTTCACAGGACGCCGGTGCCTCACCTGCCAAAAAGAGATCCTGCTAAGGGATTCCACTATATTCCATACTGAAAACTAGGAACAAGGGTTGATGGGGGGGGGGGGGGAGCTGTCTCTTATACACATCTAGATGTGT